TGAACAATCCACTTTTTAGAGACATGCAAGGTAGCCAACAATAAATCTTTCTTCAGGTTTCATACCTTCTTTCTAGGTCAGCCATACCCCGATTTAATCAATGCTGTACTATAAATCCCAGTAACTAAGATCTACCACTGGGCATATACCATTTCTACTCAGGATACAGAGAGGACATTCTCTGTCCAGTGGGATTGAAGAACAGAAAAAACCACAGGAGTTTTTACACCAAGCAGTTTTTAAGGATGGCCTTTAATGTTTTTCACAAGATAGTGCAAGTTATTAACTTTTCTGAACTCCCAAGTTTATTATATGTTCATAATGCCCTCAAACTAGACACTATATCTAAGAATTGTCTTATTTGTTTGAGTAAATAAATACATTTTGAAACAATCCTCTGAATAATGGCTATCTGCTCTTGCTGCAGCATCCTATTTTGGGAAAACATATCAGCAACATTTTTAACTATGGGACACCTAGGCACTTATAGTGTAGGAAATAAGTAAAATGGAGAAAAGAAATATGAAGAGAAGGGAGAATGGACAAAAGAAAGGGAAACAAACTATGACATTGATTTGATTTTTTTTTGCAAATAAAGAAGCCATTCAAACTTAAAGAGTTTTAAGAATATTTAGTGTTTCTATAGCTTGCTCTACATTTCATGTATTGTTATAGATGATTTTTAGTTCAGAACATCTGTGCATGCTTTCCTTGATCTTCCTTTTTAAATCATGGAAAATTATTAACTTGTTCCAGGGATTTCTTCTTGCCTAAAGCCAGCAGCAAAAAATGTGCAGGAATTGATATATCCCTTCATTCTGTTTTAGAAGTCAGTACAGTGAAAGATTAAGATGTTTCTCCAAAGAACCAAAGTATATTTTTTATATAAGCAGTAGCTGTTAAGCCCTAGCTCACCAGAATCTCCTAGCAGAATGATGACTTGGCAAAGGTTTAGGAAATGAAGACTGTTGACTCAGCAGATAAATGCAATTGTTTGCTTACTCCCAGTCTCTCCTAAAGTAATACTACATCTATTTAAGATTTAATGAAATTAGATTCTACTTTTATACTCCCAGGATTATTCTCCCCTTTAATATTTGTATTCTAACAACAGGGTGAGTAGGTGAGGGAAAGAACTTTCTCTTAACCATTGGCCATCTGTTTCAAAAATTGGGATTTTTGCTTTGAATAACAAAGACAGCAGAACATTAATTTTTATTAAATCCAGTCTGTATGCCTACTTTTCCAAAGCCTTGTGTATTTTAAAAGACAATTTTTGCAGAACATTGGAATGAATTATACCTACACAAGTTATGGTGTACATCTCTCAGCATGGTTTGGGTCGATCCTGCTTTACTCTGCTAAGTGCAAGGTGCTTACTGACAGAACTTACATCAGAGTTGAATGTACTTTCCTTTAGGCACCAGAAAGTACAATGACATCTATTATCACAGTGTTGAATAAAAATGCAATTCAGCCCAACCAATTTGACATGATACTGGTATATTATAAGCACAGGATAATTTAGGTTGGAAAGGAGATCAGAAGGTCTCAAGTCCAACCTTCTGTTCAAAAGACAGGTAGCTATAACACACTGTGTTGCTGTCTGATCTCAATAACCCCTAAGAATGGAGACTGCACAACCTGTTGCTTGACTGTCCTGGCAGTGAGAAAGCTTTTCTTTATATCCAGCCTGAAATTCTCAGCATGTTGTCTCTTGTCTGCCCACCATGCACTAGTGTGAAGAGCACGTCATTGTTCTCCATATAAACTCCCTGTAGGTATTAACAGGATGCTACCAGCATCCTGCTCCCCACAAAGCCTTTTCTCCTCAAGGATGAACAAGGCCAGCTCCCTCAGCTTCCCTTCCTAAGGCTTCCAACAGAAGGTGGCACTCCACTGAATTTGCTCCATTTTATCCATGCCCTTCTTATACTGGGGGAGGCCAAAACTGGGGAACAACCTCTTCCCTTGATCTCCTGGCTGAGTTCCTGATAATACAGCCCAAGATGCTATTGGCTGTCTTTGCAGAGATGGCATCCCTTCAGCATGCCTAAATCCTTAGGATGGCACACCCTTCAGTGTAACTACTGGTACCCTAGTGAGGTGTCACCTGCACACAATAGAGTGTGCTCCTTGTTCTCCTCCAGGTCATTGATTAAAAAATGTCGAATAGAACAGTACTTGGCTCCTTATTACTTCTATACATCACATAAAAACCACCCCCTGAGCCTGATATCCTAGCAGGTTTTATAGCTCCAGCTGCCCACCCATATAGATCCTATATCCTAATTTGGATAGGAGATAACTGTGAGAGACAGTGACGAAAGTCTTGCTAAAGTTGAGGTACTACTTTCTCCTCATCCACAAATCCAGACGTTTTACCACAGAAAGTAATCAGATTTTCAGATGAGCTTAACCCTTGAGTAATCCATACTGAATGTTCCAAATCACCTTTTTCTCCGTCATGTGCCCAGAGGAGTGTTCTCCAAGGAGGTGTGCTCCTTGACTTTCCCAGGAATTGAATGCCCACTAGACTTGCTCTCCAGTTGCTTCCCATTCTATGGAATCATAGAACTGTTGGAAAAGACCTTTAAGATCACTAAGTCAGATTGTACTGATGAATCCACCACTAAACAATGTCCCTAAGCCCCACATCTACATGTCTTTCAGATAAATCCAGGGATGGTGAGTCCACCACTTCCCTGAGCAGCCTGTTCTAATGCCTGAATACTGTTTCGATGAAGAATTTTTTCCAAGTATTCAATCTAAATCTCGCCTTAAATTCCAAATTTAATTTACCACCACTTTTAATAATGCAAATAAATTTAATCAGGTAAGATATAAAGACAGCATTTGTCAGACTGATAGGAATTGTCAGTCCAGTCTTTTATCTCTCCCAAACATAGACATGCTCTATGGTGTTAGGAGCTTGGGATAGAGGTCATTTTATGTGGGGGTAAAGCTGGACTGGGGAAGTTCAAAAGCCTTAAACTTGGATTGTTCCCAAAATTATAATTTATTTTCAAAGTTAAGGCCATTGCCTTTTAGTTTCTGTTATTTACAGAAGTAGTGGCATTTTTCTAAGTAATCTTTTACTATATTCAGTTTATGATGAAAACTAAATGCTAACTACTCCACAGTTTCGACATAAGCAAAGGCAGGGCTTAGGAGAAATAAGATGCTGCACAATTAAAAATATAATGAAATTAAAATTATGGTCTGCACCTCAAAGAAGGCAAAGTACCACCTTTCTCCTACAATCTTAATATGTAAATAAATTACACTGTGTAATTTGGTACATCTTGAGATTTTTAAATTACACTTATGCACTGTACCTGTGGTATTTGTACATAAACATGTGTGGTAAGTTCAAATTCTACCATAAGTGGGTACTAATATTTCTTAGAAAGTAAGTCTTAATACTTACACTCAATTGGGGTAGAAGGAATGTTAACAAAATCCACTGTGATTCAGTGAAATACATGTGAAATAGAATTGACAACACCAAGAGGACGTCAAGAATAGAATGGGGTTTTTTTATCATGTGCTTCCTCACACTTATATAACATAACACTCTCCAGTGACAGGATAGCATGTGCTGAATTTAGACTAAAGATCCAGCTAAGTACCCTGCTTCCATGAATGATCAAAACCAGATGCACAGAGAAGAATGAAAGTGAAAGGCAAGCATACATCACAAGGAGTATAGGAGCAATATAATTTTTTAGCAGCACAAAAAGAACCTAGAATCACTCCCAAACACAATTTATTAATGAACCATGAAGTGTAAAATTTTAGATCCTCACTTGCTGACTCGAATGTAAATGGTAACACAAAGGGAAACTGAAATCTGAAAACAATCAGAATTATGACAAAAGTCATTGTTCTTGGTGCTTCCAAGACTGTAAATGTAAATATCCCACAATGCAGTGATAGTTTCTTCATATAAAACCAAATCAGTGCATGTTTCTGTAATTCATGTTTGGCCTGAAATACAAATTTCAGGAGGCCTCTACAATACAAACACCACCTAGTATTGACATGATTTCACTTCAAATGCATGGATTTATCAACCAGCAGGCAGTTTTGACTAGAGCTGGTCAGATCCAAGCATAGTTTTAACTTGTCAAATGCTTTTCTGTTACTGCCCAACTTTCAAGGAGCACAATGAGACAAACTGAACATTAGCAAACCTTTGGTTTGATGAGCTATTCCCAACTAATGTGCATAGGCCCAAGTATTAAAAAACTATCCTAAGTTTTATACCACGAGGCTTTAAACATAGTAGTCCAATCTAGTATTTCAGTCTCAGCTGGGGACATCCTTGTTTTGCAAAAACAGTTTTCCAACATCCTCGCTATTTTTAAGAAGCTTGAAATTTTGAACCAAGAAGGCAATAGCTGTATCCAAAGCAATATAAGGTGGAGAGTTGTTTTTGTTTCACTGCTATGCTTACATTTAAATAGGCAAATACTAAGACAGGGTATAAAACTGCATAATGAATGTCTTAAAATTAAGATGAAAAGGAAAGTTAAGAAAATAGATGTGATAGAAAATTCAGAAATATTCTGTTCTATGAATATTCTAAATTTAGAAATAGAAATAACAGTAGCTGTATTTGCTATTTACAAAGTTATTTCTTTTTCAGAGGGTCCTAAACAATCTTATCTTGGGCCCTTAAATTTGTACCCTTAACCAAGTAAAAAGAACAAAAGACAGTGAAAATTGGAAAGGCCCATTTGTAAAATTTCCAGTGTTTGTTTACCTCAAGAACACACAAGCTTCACAGCTTCAAAGGAGAATAGGAAACAGACACCAAAAAATGGAGTTTACAAAATAACATAAAAGATATTGTAATGGCTAAATTAATCTACTCTGAAAATGTAGAAGATAGACAGGTGATTGTGTCAAAGAAGAAAAGCTGATATTCAAGGTGCTGTATGCATATTTCATAAGTAATTAACAGAATGAACACTAAAACTCAAAGACCTCATAACATTTTACAGTTATCACAGCAATGAAGATTCATACCTGTGGCAAGATAGATGATATGGAAAAGCATGTCCTTGCCCTGCACAACATCCACAACCACATGGGAAAATCGGCTGTTGTCTTCCATGAAGTAAGGAATTGGAATAACTGGTTGAACAACCTCATGCATTAAGAAGAATTTTTGTGCATCTTGAAGATTTCTCTCTGTCAGATTTACATACAAACCCTGGTCCATGGTGCCACACTGTAAAGACAGAAAAGTAGCATGACTATATGTGCCAACAATAACAATAGATTTACTCGCTGGTTTACAACACAAGAAAATAAAAGCAAGAGCATATCTTGTAATGACAATGTGGAATTCAACTTTCAGGTCCAACTTTGGTGCTAACCAGGCTGTCCAAGGCCTCAGGAAGCTCAGTTTTCCTGAGGCAGTATTATGGAGGCTCCCTAATTCTAAACAATATGGAAAAGCACCAGACTGACCAGCACATGTAGATTATAGAAATATTTTGCTGTATCTTATGTTCACAGGGCAGGAAGGAGAAAAACTACCATTCAAAAAGCCAAATTATTTTCTCACTAGTTTTCTTCATAATTTTCACAGAACTCAGTGCTAAAGACATAAATTTTCAAAGGAAATCCCATGCCCTACTACAGGCAGGGTCTGACAGGAATTCCAAGTGAAAGTACAACATGCAGTTCTAGAAGCTTCTTAAGACTCTGTCTTAAGTAGCAAAAATAGACAGTGCAGAGCTCTATTAAATATTTTTTTGCTCTAAAACTGACCATATTTTAAACCTGAAAACTGATCCGTTCTTAAAGGAAAACATCCACTAGCTGCAAAGACAAGTTTAAAACACAAATAAACAATGCAAAATAAATGGAGGTCATTTTAACATATTCGTGTTCAACTGAGGACACAAAAGAGAAAGCTTCTTTGTACATGGGAATATATAAACATTCACATGTTTACTCAGGAGTAATTGCATCAGAGAAATAAAGCACTACTTCACAACATTTATCAAATATTTGGGTGTTTGTGAAAGGCATAACTAAGTCACCATTTTCATTTTGCTTTACTATGTCATAAATTATGCCATGAATTACTGCATGAGCAAAATAATAGTGTGCAAAACCATCAGTCTTTTTTTTTATTATTACCATGTTTTCAATCCAAAATGGAGTGATCGTTCCAAATCCACAAATGCTAAAAAAAGTCAAATAAATTATTTCATAATGGGAGATCAGATGATCAAGAATGATAAATTAGCGACAGATCAAGAACAGTAACTTGGTCTGTATGTCAGACTGGTGAAAAAAATAAACCACACCAAAGAAGAAGTTCTCTGGATATATCAAGCAGGAAAAATTCCAGCTGAATACTCAGAGTACATTGAAATGCAAATGGTCCTTGGTCTTATGATAGACACTACCCTGTCTAAAGAGAAAAGCAATGATGTCTGAAGAAAACAAGGTTCCTCAAAACTGGACTCTAATAGTATTCTAAAATGGAAAATATTTCATTAATATAATCCAGCCTCGGAAATACAATGTCTGATGTAACTATATCTACATAGCAGTAGTCTTTCTTCAAATCCCATATTTCTCTCAGTTGCTACTGAGTAGGTGAATACTCAGAGGATAAATCTACTTCTGGGACTATAGAGACAAAACTTCTGATCCTTTATCATAAGCAGTCTAGAAAACAAAAGTCCTTTCCTGGAAGGAAACCAATGACTCAGTCAATGAATACAGCTCATCCATGTGAGGTGTGACTCACAAAGTCAAGCCACAAAAATTGGTTAAAGCTCTAAGCATTAGACTAGCTTCTAGTATGCATCACTGCTGCAGTTATGGAGCCAGAAATGTAGCAGGAAGTTATTCAAGGGAATAAAAAGCAGCATCAGCAAAAGAAGAGAAGTTGGACATTAGAGATACCTAGAGATCAGCTGACATCAATTACCTTCAATATTGTGTTGTAATTACAACTTTTAGCACATTACAGCTTTTAACACTAGCTCTGCCTTCAATGTTGTTTGTGGCTCAGTGAGATGTGATACAACTATTGTCACTGTTCTTGTAAATTGGATGAAGTACCAGCTGTATTAAAATCAGCCATGCCATGTAAGAAATAAATTTCAACACCTGTCTTGACTGGGACTTGGAGATGTGCACTAACAGTACAGCAGAGACTTAAACTGTTTTTACACAGCCATCAGGCTATCATCTTTCTTTGAAAGTACCATTCAGTATGGGCTGCTCTTACAATAATTAACACCACTTTAATGCAAGGTTTGTAGGGAAATTTTAATAAGCTTTATTGGATGTGCTTACCTAGTCAGAATGGTGATAAGATTTTTACATACAAGCATTTTTTCAGGCTTTCTCCTTCAAAAATTTAGCCTCTCTTAGAAATACAAGTATTTCTACAGCAGGTGGAAAGCTGTATACAAATACACCCTGCTTATGCAGGCTTCTGGTGTGCTTAGAGTCTTGTAACTTGGCTGATGACAAACATAAAGCTTAGGAAAGGTAACATGGCTCTCGCCTGTAGCCTGTGCCTTATTTCCCTTCGTTTTCGTAGATCAGGAAGTAATTAAGACTACCTACAATCCCCAATGGATGGTTCTTTTTCATGATAGCAAAGATCCTATGAATCTTACAAGCTAGAGAAGGCTGTTTCAGGAGCAGAAGTGAACTTGTGAAATTGCATTGAAATTAAGGGAGGGTGAAAGGTGGATAGAGATGACTACACTTAAATACCTTGATGAAAAGCTATTGATTGTTGCTATTGATTATTGATAGCGATTTTTGTTAATCATTACATTAATGCTGCTTTTCCTTCCATCTCCCTTTCTAGAAGCACACTCATTGAAATTGTGCTAGTAGGAGTGGTGACTATGCAAAAGACGAAAACAATGCATATGTGCTCAGTGAAACACCCCTGTTTTTTTGTAGAGTTCCTGTAAATGACCCACCTTGGACTAACTGGTTTTACACTGTCAGCCATCTGCAAATTATTACACCCTCTGAGGACAAGTTCAAATGACGGGCAGAAGACATCGCGAATTCTTTTAATCCGACTCTTCAAGTAGTGTGGACCACCTTCCACATGAAAATATATAAAATTCTGACCACTCCTCCTTTACCACCTCCCTCTCACCTTCTTTTTTCTGACAGGCTTTGTTCCATTTTTAAGTTCTAATAGCAAAAATTCAGCGTAAAAGAGAATAGCAGTTTGATCATACTTCTGACAGGAGTTAATGTCACCTTGACAGATAACTAGTGTTTCATTTCAACAGAAGACTGCCTTTTTTCTCCTACCCTTCAGAGTACATCTGTTTTTCAATCCCAATTATTTTGTGAAAGGATAAAACCAAAATTCAATATGTTTAAATAAGGGGGTTGCCTAAGCACTTTTTTAATTTAGGGGTTTTTTTAAGGTCTTAGGCTACAACATAATGCAAAACTGGATTTCTAATTTATGAACCATACAGTACTTTGAGGAAAGCTCACATAAAATATTGTCCTTCTCCTAAATATCCATACCTGAAAATTGGGGTTAGGATTGGGGTATGGAAGCCAAGCAGAGCGAGAGTTCTCCTGGTATTTGAAGGGTCCATTAAAGGCCTGAGTTATGGCACTCAGATTGAAAACACAAACTGCTGAGGCTGCTATGCTGTTCCTGCAAAAGAAATAAATACATTAACCTATGTAATAACATTAAGAAGTCAAACTGCTGAAAAATAAATAAAAAAGGCTCTTCAATCTTTCAAGCAATTAATGAAGCAGATATGATCGGCCAGGAGATGATATCTCAAGATAATGATATACAATGAGCCGATTTAGCATAGTCATTGCATTTAAAATATTTGTCAATATTGTCAGCCTATTGTCAACCAAGAAGTTGGTGTGGGGGAAAATCTCAGAACTTCCTACCTTCTGCTGCTGCTCCAATACCATACTATACTTCTAATACCATACTGCTACACTTCCACACCATAATCACCTGCACTAGGGACACCTCTTTTCTAGGTACAAAGTTCAGGATGATATTATTCTCAGGGTTCAATAAAGTTTCTTCCATACAACCAATGACTGCTTGACATTAGCAAGGATTTTCAATGTGTGGTATGTCTCAAATCCTATAGAATCTCTGGACAAGACATGTCCACAAAAATCCTGTCTTCCAAGCGATGTTGTACAGCAATAAGAATGCAAGTTGCAAGTATCAAGAGAAAACAACTTGGACTGCTTACAAGATACCATGTTAAAAAAATAAACATCAATAAATGGCAGCTGGACAAAACACACAATTTCCTGAGTTTGCCTCAAAAATGAAATATACAAGTCAATAAAGTAATTCTGCATAGTGTAAAGAATATAATCTAATAACTATGAAAGCTCCTAATATGGAAAGCTGCATTGTTCTTTTCCTATTTTTGAGATAATGGAATAGATAATGAAGATGTCAATTTCACAGATTTCTTATTGCAGCTAAAACTGCTGGCAATTATTGACAGCACATAAATGCCACATAGCATTCTTCTCTCTTTTCTTCTTTTTTCCCCCTAATTTTTTTTTTTAAACTTAACCTGGAATTTACACAAGGCTTAAGAAAACATTCTACAGAAGCTCCATAATGATGGGGAACAAAAACCAACAACTGAAAAAAGAGTTAAGATACATGGATTAAATACCAGGACAAAAGAGCAATTTGCATTCTTATGCTTGTCTCTCTTATTTCAAAGGAAGTCCAAAACTTGAAGTTCTGTGCTTACAACTTCTGCAGAATCAATCATCATCGGAGCTGATAGATCCTTGCTTAAATCACTAAATGCATCTCACTAAACTATTAATTTTACCAATGTTTTCTTGAATTTCATTAAGTCCTAGAAGAAAATGAGACTCACGTTTAAAGATTTTTTTGGTAGTCTGAAAGAAAAAAAATCAGCTTTTTCATGAAGCAGTGGCCATAGTGGACTTGATAGTCAACGACATATAAAAGGTGCAGGTTTGGCTGTTAGAGAAATGTTTCAACTTTTGCCCTCCACAAGTATATTAAAGTATACTAAAAAATAAGCATTAAGGTCCAATAAAGTCATTGTAATTCTGATGATATTGAGACTGAAGAATTATGAATGCCATTAAGTTATATCTGCTGCTGTTACATGAACAGAAAGGCGTAAGTTGTTCCCTGTCACAGGAAATCCTTACGTTTCTCCATCACTTGCAGGCCAGAAACTATCTATGCCATAAACTATCTATGAACTGGTAGTCAGCATGGGGAAGTAATCCTAACTCTGTAACATTTCAAAAATCTCCAAAACATTTAGTTACAACATTTGATGGCAGGCATTTAAACAGAGCAACCAGAAATCCCTACCCTCAAATAGTTATAATTGATTAGTTCCTCTTTGAACAGTCCATCTTTCTGGGACAGTCAGAACGTTGGGCCATGGGGGAAGAGGAAAGTAGCAGCAAGGTTTACTTTCATGTGGCAAGATAGTCTTAACAATAGCAAGTCCTTTTTCAGGAGATCCATGAAGCATCAGAAACATCATTACCCTTCCATGGCCAGAGCCCCGTGAATTTTCCAGAGCGGAATCACTCTGCTAAGGCTTCTCATGGCAGGAATATGTCTAGGCTACTTTGACTTCTCAAGAAAGATCTGGCTGAACAGTGCATGTGGATGCCAGCTGACAAATACCTGCCCTTTACTATATGAACTAATTAGGAAAACAGAACAACAAAATTAAAAGTACTGACTGAAACAGCAAATTTTCTTATCCCCAGCAATCTCAAAGTCTCTGCTATTCTCTTTCCATAAACAGTCTTTAGATTCCCTACATTACTCCATTGCTGAAACAGGGTGAGCTCATCATCCAATGTCATGAGTTAGGAATTGCCACAGCCTGGTGCAAGCATCTCATCACTAGTCTTGTTCACAGCCTGAGCTGCCAGCCCAGGGGTGAACCTGAGTGTGGAAGATGCCTAAATGAGCTCCAATTCATGTTCACTGTCTAGAATGCATAGGGATTATAATTTGTTTGCATTAATTTGTGAATGTTTCCACCTGGTTAATGGATATTTATAAAAGGTAGGTATCCCTGTGTTCAAGAGTGCATTACTTATTTTTAGGTGCCGAAGGACCTTTTAAAATTCTAGACAAAACTGATTTACACAGCAAGACAGTACAAGGTCAGAGAATCAGAACTTGAAATCAGGAATTATTCCAGTGGTCTGAACATGGGACTGCACAGCCATAGCACAGAGGCTGCTCTTGCTGAGCAGCATTTGAACACCAATCAACATGTTTAAATTAACAAAAGACATTTCTGAGATAAATGTCTCTTCTATGTCCATTCAACATTTTAATATTTAACAAATTTGAATTTTTAAGACCAAATTGAACTTCTTTTTTTTCTTTAATTTTACCTTATTGATATAACAGGTTCACTTAAAATTAGGTTAAATTATTGATTTGACCTTCAAACTCAGCTAAGGATATGTTAGGACTAAATTAAAATAGATAAGAGCACCTCTTGTGCTATTTTGGGTAAGATGAGTTGTTTATGACATGGTCAAATTCCATCATGTCAAATTCATGATTGTGTCACATTACAATTATAAAGTATTTATTTCATAAATATATAATGAATTTATGTATTACAATAGTAAAAATAAAAATTTTTTACTTTCTAACAGTAAATGAAGAATATGACAGAATAGTTTTAGACGCAACTGGCTCCCTGCAGTAAGGAAATATTAAGAGTTCATTCCTTCACTTGTGTTTTCACCAATTCATGTGGGAAACATTTGGAACTGATACTTGTACACAGAAAACAGTGGATTAGAATTTATGATGTTTACTTGGCATATGCAGAAGAGAGAAGCTCAGAAGTTCTAGGTTTTGCTGTTACAAGCAGCAAGAAAATAAAATATATTACCCGCTTTACTTACACATTAGTGGTAAAAATCCCATAGATCAAGTCCAGTTCTGGCAGGAAGAAAGTACTCTGAAGTTCATTGTAGTAAAATGGAATTTCTCCAGGGCGAGAGCAGTTCAGACGAGCTTTCATGAAGGTAGTCCAGGTATCCTCCAGCACAAACTTGCCACCAATATCATTTTTGCACACCCGAGCAGCACGAGAGAAAACTGTTTTCCCACAGTCATGTTCCACTGCGTTTTCCCGGAAGAAGAAGTAGGTAAAGTTCCCAATGTCATAAGATGACACAAAATTTGGTTCTGAAAATAACCAAGAAAATAAGAAAGAAAGATAATTTATTGCCTTCTTGTGATATATGCACTCATACTAACATGGAAATTGGATTTATCTTCAAGCATTATATTTAGATAAACACACTTTTTAATATCCTTTAGGGATATGGCACCACGGCATCTGAAAAGTCCAGCTGGGATTATGAGATACATGAGCACAATGCACTGGGGTTGGCTGGGTAGAGTTAATTCTTTTCATAGTAGCTAGCATGGCACTGTGTTTTGGATTTATGCTGGAAACAGTGCTGGTAATTCAGGGATGTTTTTGTTATTGTTGAGCAGCACTTACACAGAGCCAAGGCCTTTTCTTTCTCACACCACCCCACCAGCACAAAAAGCCAGCTGAGCTGCCATCTGGGGTCAAACCACGACACGTGGCCTGACAGGTTTTGCTCTAGGTGTTTGTAAAACACGACTGTGCTGGGCAACCTTGGCCCAGCTCACTGTATTCCACCATCAAAAGTGTCTCGGAGTTTTCATTCTTCCCATAAGGGCACAGTGAATTCTTAATGTAATTGCTGTATCTTTTAACTCTGTTTCTGCTTTGCCACCATGCTGTTACTCCAGATTTGTAGGATAATGGATGGTAACTGATGGTGAGTAAAAATGTGCTCAGAGGCTGTAATTAAAAGAAAAGAGATCTACACAAGAATATTTGATGGTAAGATAACTGCATTTTAACCCTATCTTGCTTAATGCTTTTGAGGTGATTACAGATTTCTTTTTTCTTTCCTTAAAAAATGATTAAAAACTGATCCAAAAAAACAATCAAAAAACCTGATGGTGATGGAGGAGAAATAAGAGAACATATTAAAAATAACCTGGAAATAAACAGATGGCGATGCTTCTCAAAAGAAAAGAAAAAAAAAAAGAACAGCGGAACCAAAGACAACAAACATGTGGTCCACTTCCTGCAAGGATTCTAGAACTGAGGAAAGTCCATGACCATAGAAGAGGCTGACAACTCAATAAGTTCTTAAAGGGAAGATAAATTTGATACACAGATTTGTGAAGAAGATTTCCACTTGTGCAAGGAATCATTTTAGAACACTAATACCTCTGAGAAACAAGAAATCTTTTGTTTCTCATTTCCAAATTTTATTCAGAAATGGGAAAGCAAATAAACAAAATTGTTTTAAAAACATCTGCTTGAGGAAACACTTCAAATAAAATTAATAGGTGAACAATTTTGACAGCTCTATTGTATAGGTTGCTATATATTGTAAAGGCTGCTTTAATTCAATGTGAGCATTTTACAGGAGTATCTCAAACCTATCCGAATTTTGGAGGGGCACTAGAAAGGCAAGGAAGATGGCAGTGCCTCACAGCAGTCCAAGCTGTCAGAAAACTCTTTTTCAAAGACAGAGCAGATCCCAGCTAATGTGGCCTCTTGTGCTGCTTCCATCTCTATCTGCTGTGCTGAGAGTTCCCAGGGCAGGTTTTTGGCAGCAGTGATTATGAGCTGCCTTGGATGTATGAGCAAATCCAATAGTGCTCTCACTCCTCCCTCTAATTTTCACTCTCTATTTTATTAAGTGCTTCCTTGAGAGCAGTCTGGAACACACCACATTTTCTCCACATTCAAAGCTGCACAGGTATTTTGCTGGCAGATCACAACCCAACAATTTTAAGAACTTGTTGGTCCCCTGAGCCTTCATAAATTACATACTATCAATGCATTTTTGTCTTTGAAAAAAAGGAATAAAAAGACAAAATAGTTGAACAGGACTTATGGTATCATAAGAAATAAAATCGCACTGACAATATAAAAAAAAATCTTCATTCCATATCTATGCAAAACTTTCATTAAAATAGGGATTTTGCTTCAAAGGTTTCAAAAGCATCAAAAATTTACTGTGCAAATACTCATAATCAATTTGATCCACCCACAAAAACCATTTTGTACAAACATTAAAAAAGGAGGCCCTGCCTTGCAATCAGGCCTGAAGATACTTCTCACTGGAGGCCCACTGATATAAAAAGATCTCTGCATTGGCACCACAGGATCTCACTGCACAGTTAAAAAAAAAAAAAAACTTTTGGAAGCACTCAGCTTCCACTCAGTAAAGAATGATGAATTACAAAAATAAAATAAACTTCACAAACTATAGCAGTAAAAATCATATGAAATGCATTCAGAATGTATTCAGGGTTCTTGAAAATCCATATCAACCTTTCAACTGACAGTATTTTAAAGTTGCACTGATAATCATAATACATGATTAAAAAATACCTAGTACTCATATTTCATGGTTTCAAAACTGAGAAACAATACATACATCTGCAAACACCTATATTTTATTGATTATGAACTGGTGAAATTGTGACCTGCTGTTGAAACTCGTGAAAACTGCTTTCGTTTGCATTAAATGTAATAATGTCAGAGTCACCTTAGGGAACTCAGTGGATATGGAAGGATTATCATGTCAGACTTTGTTTATTTCATTCTCTCTTTGGGAAAAATGAACAGGGTCCCTTCAAAACTTCAGAGGGAAAAGTAGCTTCTCAGCTAGGAAAAATCAGTTCTTATGTCTCCAAATATTGTGCTGTGAATTGCTATTTGTTGACATGGAGGCCTTACCATGTGAGTTTTTAATGCAGCAAATGAAGTGAATCTCTTGTTTCATGCTGACTTTGCAAATAGTTCTTGGAAGAGAAAATACATCTCGATCTGATTTATCAGATCACAACAAGTGCAAGGATTGTGGTATGTGACACGACACAGTTAGTACGAGAATGTCAACCTGTAATAATGTCACAAGTATTGTATACGACCTTTATAGGGTTTTTTATATACTCAATTTATGGACTTGTCAGGCTGACTAGACTTTCCCAAATTAAATTGAACTAGTGGAATGAGGAAAGCAAGAAAATTACTTTGTTGATGTGACCCAAAACATATCTCCAGTGTATATCACAGAGCAGTGCTACACAGAGCACAAACCCAAACACTGAAAGCACTGGGTGGCTGGTTAGCACAGCCCCTGGGCAAACACACTGCTCTGCTATTTCTAAAGTTTGCTTACTCGGCACAAATCCTGGGAATCTCTACCATTTCCTTCCCAAAGCAACATGACTGCCCAACAAGGATGTTTTCCCACAGACTCTTCTAAGTTAATGCAAAAAAAAAGACAACCATATGAAGCCAAGATAGCACTTTAACTGGAAATAATACGATTTTTTTTCTGAAGGTTGGAGACAAACCTACATTTTTGGGGAGCACAGTCTCGGTTCTTGTTGTGAAAGCACTTAACAGGAAGACACAATTATTCCTTTTAGATTATTCTCTCCACCTGCCAAAGGTGTCATGCATAAGCTTATTTCCTGGGCCTTTTTTATTTGGTGATGTGGATACAGTCTGAGTGGGTAAACGGATGAGAGGAACTGTAAGGAAATTTTCTGTGGATAGAAATGGGAAACAGGAGCCTAAAAGAGCTTCCTGAGAGCACCTGAGGTAATCTTGGCCTCTTCTTGCTGCCTGAATTTAGGAACAAGAAAGTTTGCTTGTGCTTGTTTCACTTCTGAAGCAATCTAACATGGCTTAATTTACATAGTTAGTGGATGCTACTGCTTCCTGAGTGAATCAAATGACAGGAAATGATCTAGTGATCTACCTTCTTTAAGGAGGTAACAGCAATTAACCTTCAGGATTTAAAGGTCCAAAGCCTACTCTAAGCAAGTAAAAGCTGTGATTTCCACTGACTGTTCCTGTGAAATGTGACCACTCACATCTGAAATGTAAAGGCATTCAAGGACCCAATTAAAAGGAAATTAACACAAGAAATGTTAAAAGAAAGCTACTTTTTTTTTCTGATTTAGACACAGATCAGATTATATATGTATATATTCACACAAAATAACACACACACACAAAGATATTTGGATACATAATATATTCAAGATCTTAGGAGTCTAGATACTGCTCTAATGTTGAAAGTCTGTCTGGAATGTGTTCACTTGTTCACTGACCTCCCTAGATCTATGAATCACACTATACTGTTGATCTCTAAAGATCCATTTCTTCCTAATTCAGCCAAATGCTTAATAGCATTCAATTCTAGAAAGATGCATTTGAGATTTTTTGAATAAACTTCACATTTCAGCTAGAAATGCTCTTCAAAAGGGACACTTAAATTAATGGAAAGAATTTAAGCTTCAGATGCGCCAGGCTATATTATTTCCTTTCATTTTATTAACATATTCAACAAAGTTCAGTTGCAATTTCATTTTGCCATTTCTGTATATCCATTAAGTATATTCATTTAGTTGTGGCCCTTTGCAGCTGTTGGAAAAAAATTACAGACCTTGCATTGGACTGATCAAGGCATCACTGCTCATGAAGGTTTAGGGACAAATTTTAATCGCAGTAAAATTTTCCTACAGCATTATATGTCTCAAAAGTAATACATAACTTGTGGTCATCACAGCTATATCCATCCTCAGGACCTGAACTGTAAAATGGTAAGTCCTGTATATGAAAGTGCTGGAATTGGTTTATTAATAGCTATTTTTCCTCTGTGTTTAACAATTACCTATGATGCGTGCTAAAAATGCCAACCTGCCATAGAGTAGCTGGCTACCAATCGATTTTCACATTTCCTTTGCAATGCCTTAGCTGTCCATGATTTCTTTTACATTCTTTTCCTTTTGCTAAATTGAAAATTTTATAGGTATGGAAGAGCAAGGACAGCAAAATACACTAAAACTGTGCATCCCAGACATTTTTTTCCAATCTCCTCTTATATTGCTGATAGATTTTATAATATAATTCAGCATAATCATGAAAGTGGATGCACTCATTACTTTTTTACTGATGTACTCTAATAAATTCTGAAGTGCAATTATTTCTTTTCTGAAAAACTGTTTTCAAATATGGTATTACAAAATTCCTTCTTTTATTTCCTGTTGTTTATTTCCTGTTGTTTATTCCAAATAAATCGCCTTCATTTTCAAGGTAAAGTATTCTT